AACAACAACAACAAAAGCAGGTAGAACAAGAGTAGTGCTGTTTCTCAAGAGGGTGAGCACATTCTCTAACAGGAGCAATTTCCTACTGCAGTCTTGGGGCAGGACGTTGATATTCTCCTCAGGGTGCGGCCTAAGCTGCCCCGCAGACTCCTGATTAGTGGCTGCTTCAGTTTAGGATTCATGGAAATCAGCATCACAGAGTGTCCCGAGTTACACACGATGATCACCACCGTTGATGTGACGATTGTCCAAGGACTTGTGAACATAGCCAGCGAGACCACAGCGACAAAGCTCGCGGTGAAGAGGATAACAAAGGAGACCAGGGTTTTAACGGCTTTGATGTGAACATCCATCCTGTGGTCCTTGACGCCCCCCATGTTCAGTCGCATCTTCCGAGCATGGTGAAGAAGGGAGCGAATCAGTAGGACCGAAGAAGCTAAAACGATAACGAAAGACGGGGAACTGCCCGTGATGTATATAATACCCGAAAGTACCTTTTGGGGGCATGTCGTGTTCCGGTTACCCCGAACGACCCTCGTTTCATTGCAACAGGGGCTACACTTTTCGAAGAAGATGATGGGAAAGGAAGTGATGAAGGAGACCAGCACTGAACCCAGGAGCAGCCTTGGAACCAGCCTGGAGAGACCCAGTTTCATTTTCACGAAGAACACCTGGGGGAGATTGACGAGTTTCATGCAGTAGAAGACTGCGAGGCAGGTGGCCATCCAAAGGGTAGTGGCGTTGGCAAATCCCCAGAAGAAAATGAGGGATTCGGGTAAGCTCTTGGGATTGTCGACATCAAGGAAGAACAAGCAGTGGACAGCCAGTACCAGCCCGAGGAAAAGGAGGCGGGACAGACTCAGTGCGGTCAGGATCATGTCCGAAGGGGGCATCGTTTTGCTTCGGATCCAGTCGAGGCCGTTAGCGAGGACGATGAATCCATTTCCCATCACCCCGACGACAATCACAATGGCTACAATGACGAGACACAAAACGTTAAGTGCATCAAATTCCGACATCCTCCCTGTCCTTGTGAGTGAACAGAAGCAGGTGGAAAACTTCCAGGGATTTGCCCAGCAGGTGAAATGTGGTCCCTACACCAACCAATCTCTCTTGTATCCAGGAGAGCTAGAAATTTTATATTCTTTACCTGGAAAAGCAAATATTATATGGCCATGTATGCAACCTGCTTGC